GACAACCAGCAATACGAAACTTGGAATAGTGTAAATTAGAAACCCTAAAAACCTCAAAATCCTATTATTTTTTTTAAATAATATTAGTGAATTAGCCCCCATTATCGTTATCGTTATCAATTGGTCTAAATTTATTGTTTCTGTCATATTTTATTAAAATAAAAATTATTTTTAATAATTTAAATGTGTAAAGATTAACTATTTCCAGGCTCAGATTTTATACACTGATTCTATTTTAAATACATAAAAATATATCAATTTTTATGGACAAGATAATTTCCCACATTTTTTACAGGAATCACGAGGACCAAAGTCACAAGTATTGCCTGTTTCTCCATTACATTGATATACATGGGTGGGGTCACAATCTGAAAAGAAACCAAAAAAAGTTAAAAATAAATCACATCATATCGATATACAAATAAGTTAGATTTCCATTACTTACCAAACCCCTTCTCCTTCACACCACACATTAGACCCCCGGAGCCATAGCATATGCATGGGGTATCATAATTACAGTAGGAAAAAACGACGGAAATAGAGATCGAGAGAAAAACAAAAATACGAAAGTCTTAATAATGGCTATAACTGTAAATTGAAATTAATAAATTAAGTTTAAAATATAATCAGAAATATAAGTAAATATAATCAGAAATAAAATATACCAGTTAATAGAATTAACATACGTACGTGAAAAGTAAAAAAAAAGAAGTATTTATATATCATAATTTTATATAGTAAACAATATAAATAAATGTTTATATGAAAACCATACGTATACGTATCGATATGCTTTGGTCTTCGATTGAATTTTATGCTTGATTATGCATGACTAAAGATGGCATCTCAATTAATTGCGATTAATTGCGACAGCCAATCAGAGAATTGCGACCGAGTTGCAACCAATTGCGATCCCATCTTTATGCAAGACACCTATTGAGAATTTATTACTTTTAACGTTAAAGATTAATAAAGATATTAATATTAACGTTAATATTTTCTACTTGTTTATACGTAGATCTATAAAGGGATAACAATAGACAATAGTGATACCCATTAAGTTATTACAGTAACCATAAATGGGTATCACTATTACCTTTCATTATAGAGGAGGTTGTTGAAAAAAATCTTGTCAAAATCTGACGGTAACCATAAATGGGTGTCACTATAGAGATTTTTGAAGTTCTATAACGATAACGATAACGATAATGGCATGTCTCTTTTAGCATCGATTTGCGCATATATACATGTCTATCGCTATCGCTAATAACGGTAATAGCGATATCATATTAATTATCACGCACTACTCCAATCATGCGCATCATGCTATGTGCATGCACGGAACCACTCAAAATGCGCATTTTGCCCATCTTTCTAAGCTTATAATTGTATACTACTTATATTACAAAATGCTACTAAACCTTTATATGATGCCTTACGTAAATATTCCTCTCCTTGCTGCTTTTCCTCTTTGGAACCACAATATGGGAGGAATCCATCGAGACCTTCATAGTGGAAAAATTCTCATACAAAAACCTTTTCATGCATATATCGCTGATTTTGGACAAGCCAAATATGTGACATGTTCAGGTTGTTCAATATGTGCAAGTGGTCGCTCTTACGGCATTATTCCATATATGGCTCCAGAACTGTTTGAACGTCAACCACATACCCAGGCATCTGATATTTATTCATTTGGCATGCTAATGTGGGAAATATCATCAAGTGAACAACCATTTATGGACAGAGAACATGATGTCGACCTTCTTAGAGCAATTCACAAAGGTTTGCGGCCAGATATTGTCCCTGAAACTCCTTCATGTTATGTAGACTTGATGAAAAGATGCTGGGATACTGACCCTTCAAAGAAGCCTACGGCAGATGAGATACGTAGGATTGTAAATCCCTGGTATAATGGATCCCGTCAACAAACTAATATAAACGAAACATTCCCAACCGATATAATGAGTTTTGTCATTGCTGATGAATATCAAAAAAAACAATCCACGCCCAAAAACCAGTCAACATTCTGGTGCGGTATATTCTTCAAAAACTCCACGAAGCAAGTGTTTAACAAGTTTGTTGTCCAAATTGTTATTTTCTAATGATTCCTTAAATCCCTTTTTCTTCAATCTATTCACTAATTCATTTTCCAAATCTTTTGCATAATCATAGTTTTTTCCCTTGCCCCAAACTATTTTTATTCCATTAATATAATATTGATGACTGGAAAAAATGACATACATAGTCTACCAATTAATTACCTTGGCTTCGTTTGTGGCAAATTCCAATCACTGAAAAATTTTCATCTATCTTCAAAGTTCTTGTGGTGTGGCATGAAAGTAAAATTTATCATTACCTTTCCAATGATAGTAAGAGAATAAAAACGTTATTATCAATTGTGAGAAAAGAAGATATCATCTATCTATCAATCTATCAATCTAGCATCATACTAGCAAAAGTATTAAAAAATTTACTAGTCATCTCGACTATTGTTTTTTCTACAGGAACTCAAAAGGATAATTAATCTCGATTATTGTTTATTTACCTTAAATAAGAAAGTCACTTACAATATATTGTATTAGTATGTTAAATAATACGTAAAGAATTATTGTATATCGATATTAATAGGATATCATTTGTGCGTATCATTTGGAAGATTTACGCGTCGAGATAATACATACTGTATTATTCTTTCACAATAGCATCGAACCAGGTTAAATTAAAAAGATAAATATCATATATGAAACTTGAGTTTGGTTGAATTAAGAAGAAAATTCAGTGGGTAATTTGGTCTATAAATTTTAATAATTTTTTAATAATATTATATCTATTTAATAATAATATATTATATTGTGATGTTTCCGCTCTCTCCCATGCATCAGCTGTAAATCCATCTCGCCTCGATGTTACGATAATCCCAATTGTAGTATCCGAATATCGCGTTAGAACCGCTTAAAAAAATGATAATTAATAAATTAATTAAACAAAAACTATTTTAAAATAAATAATATTTACATTCCATATCACGAACTACTTCAACACCAACTCTGTCTGTCCAATTTTTGCACTGAACTACAATTGGAATTCCTGCTAATTCACCTTCAATATCTCGTCCACCATCACCTCGACTTAATCTAACTAAGAAGAAAACTAAGAATAAATAATTGTCATCATTGTTATCAAGATATAAATATCATATATTTTCCACATAATGCGACTGATATCAAGCATTTACTTTTTAGAAACGGAGAAAGAACGTTTATATAATTAATTAGAATTATCGAAACTCCGCACTTATCAATTATATAGCCACGATGCGCTTTCAATTTCTCCGATTTTACACTTAGTGAAATATATATAACTCGACAATATTTAGTGAGAAAGAGTACTCACTTAACACGATAACATTCTATTTCCACTTCTATTAATCTCGCAAATATTTCTTTTTCGAAGTCTTGTCCTCGTTGGTAAGAAGAACAATTATTATCAGACATAATTACGTAATATTAAAAAGAAAGATCTTTAATATCCTTACCCTCATATTCCATTTTTTATCTTGTTTCAAATTTGGACTGATCATATAATGATAAAAAAGTGACCAAGTTTAACGTTAATACGTACCGGTACGTAACGATAATAATAACGAAACGATCGATAATAATAACAATAAATCATTAACGCTAAATTTTTCTGCATAAAACGGTATTGTTCGAAACAAATACGAGTTTTCATCCTACATTTTTTGGCAACTAGAAATGTGACTACGTACATACGATGCCAAATCTAGCGTGGCATTTGATTATTTATTATTTACTACTAGATTTGGCAACTCGTATACATATATGTAGAATTGTGGGAAAATTCCCAATGATTCTCTCGTTGCTGCCAAATCCATTATTTTCTACGTACGTACGTATTATAAAGTTAACAATTATGTATAAAAATATAATGATAACATATAACGATAACGATTCAGGTATAATAATAAGAATTTTTTAATCTCTTAAAAAATGAATACATATCAACAAGGACAAATTTTTGAACAAATAATTTTTAATATTTTTAGAAGAATAGAAATAGTAGTTTTTAGAGTTCCGTAAGTAACTTACTAAGTATTTGTTGAGTTATTATGTATCTGAAGTTACGCTGCCACTAAGAGAATTGAAAGCACAACGTGGCCATATAATCATTTTTTTGGATTATATGAACGTTCTTCTCTGAAAAGATACCTTGTCTATGATTAGTCGAAACCTTAAGTGGTATAAGGGTAACCTGTGTTTAATCTTAAATGGTTTACTGGGCAAACCGGGGTCCTGTGGTGAATAGGATACATGATATAATAAAAAGAAGCACATCGTGGCCATATATTAAACTATATGAACGTCTATTATTTTATCTCGATAACAATGACAACACTTACTTATTTGTATTTTTTTAATAGATTGAAAGAGGGGATGGTGGTGTAGATTTAAAAGGAGAAGTTATAGAGATCCCAATTGTTATTCAGTGTAAAAATTGGACACAAAAAGTGTGTGTTGATGTGGTTCATAGATTAGAAGGTAAATAGTTATTAAGTTTTATTAATTAATTATTTTTTATTAATATCTATTTAATAATTTATAGGGGTATTATCACAATATCCCAAAAATACAATTGGGATTATCGTGACATCAAGGCGAGATGGTTTTACAGATGGTGTAAGAAATAGAGTTAAAATATCAAAATATAATATTATTTTAACTAATATAGACAATATTATAGAGGATTTAATTAGAGTGATAGAAAATAGAGTAAATAGATCTTATAGATTTTATTTATTTTTCTTTTTTGTTGGTTTTATTTTTTCTTCTCTTTTATCTTATTTTTTTTTATTTATAGATAATATAGATATTGCTAATAAAATTTATTAAAAAAATACATATAAATACAAACTTTGATATTTAAAAAATGGTTACAAAAATTGCATGTTTTTATTGTCGATTCATGTTTTAAAAAAAATATAATCTATTAAAAATCAAATAAATTTATCAAATTCACAAGGTGAAATAATTTTAATGCGAAAATACTCCAAAATCCAAAAAGAAAACATTCGTTTAAAAGAAAAATTAAAAAAGTCGGGTCTTACGATCTAAAATCTTAAAAAAAATAATAGGATTTTGAGGTTTTTAGGGTTTCTAATTTACACTATTCCAAGTTTCGTATTGCTGGTTGTC